CCACCTAAAATCTGGTGGAGGTCACTCAGGGTCACGACCTTGACAACATATGTCAAGGTCAAGGTCATCGGAGGTGGCTCCCCTTTTCTTGATATTTACCTAAATTCATGGTGGAATCAATAGATAGCGTCTATTAGTTTAGCAGAAACGCTGCTATCTCATATTAGGCGCCTATCTCATAATAGGGGGCTTTCCTCGAATTTATATTATATACAATTATATATACAGGGTGTTCCAAAATAACCGACAAATATTTCATGTGCTGGTAGAGCGGGCCAAACTGACTCGAAAAGTCCTCTACTATTTTGCAATTTTTGCAATAATTAACAAGTTTATTAATTAATAAAATTCGCCGAATATTAATATTCAATAATTTTTTACTCAAATACTATCAATTTTATAGGAAAACAGCGAAAGATAAGAATTGTTTAGTTTCTTTTCATAGAGTTCTGAGAATTTTTTCAAAATTTTTAGTATCGCATTTTCTCACGTTGGTAAAAATAATTACCAATAAGAAAATGCGGTACTAAAAAGTTTTATGGAAAATTCTAAAAAAATTCTTAGAGCTCTATGAAAAGAAAATAAACAATATTTGTCTCTTGCTGTCTTTTTGCAAAGTTGATAATATTTGAGTAAAAAATTATTAAATACTAATATTCGGCGATTTTTAGTAATTAATATCTTGTTAACTATTGCAAAAATTGCAAAATGGTAAAGGACTTTTCAACTCAGTTTAGTCTGCTCTATTAACACACAAAATACTTGAGGGTTATTGTGGAACATCCTGTATAATTATTTATAATTATATGTATATTTGTATACAATTATATACATTCTGTCAAAAAAGTACCGGGAATTGATTATTTAAAAAGCCCGCTTAAAGCCCGCTTAAAGGAATTGTCAAAATTCTTTTTGTTGCTAAGTTGGCATAACTGTCCTCTATACTGATGCGGAGTTTGAGTGCCATCTGTCATTTAATTTGTTTATAGTGCTTGATTTCGTCAGTTCATTTCAAGTGTGTTTCGCGATTTTTACAATGGATAAAAAGATCGAACAAAGAATTTGTCTCAAATTTTGTATTGAAATGGAATTTCGTGTGCCGAATCGCTGAAGATGTTACAGAAGGCTTACGGTGAATCGACTTTATCAAAAACACATGCATATGAGTGGTACAGTGCATTGAAAAGCGATCGAGATGTGGTGAAAGATTTGCCTCGCATCAACGTCTTCAACCGAAGTTAACATCGATAAAGTGAAGGAAATGGTGACTGAAAATCGTCATTTCAGTTTGAGAGAGATATCTAGGCGTTATGCGGCGTTTGAGAGAGCAAATTCGTCGAAAAAGGTCAGATTTGTGGAAAAAACTCATGGATTTTGCACCACGATAACGCACCATCTCACAAGGCTATCATTGTGAACAAATTTCTGGCCAAAAACTCAACAAATATCATCGAACAATCACCGTGTTCACCTGATATGGCTCCGGCTGACTTTTTTCTCTTTCCAAAACTCAAATTACCACTTCGAGGCACTCGTTTTCAGTCGATAGAAGACATAAAAGAGAATTCGCGGCGAGAACTGAAGTCGATTCCGGAAAATGCGTTTAAAAAATGTTTTAATGATTGGATTATTCGTTGACATAAGTGTATTATTTCGGAAGGGGCTTACTTTGAAGGTGACACAATAAATTTGAATGAATAATAACTATTTTGTGTTTTATTGACCAATTCCCGGTACTTTTTTGACAGAATGTATATTTAATAATATTTATCGTATATTTATATTTTACTTACAACTAATCGAATTGCTTGTTCGCTCTGATTAACGTTGAGTTTCAATCGTGCCGCTATATAGAGAGTTTCTCTCGTTGTGAGGAATGGCAATAAATCATATTGTTGCGGCACATAGCATGTCTGTTTGCGAAACATTCCTCTATTCGATTTAACACCGTTTACGGTGATGGTACCTTTAACGTTATTTAATCGTTGGCCCGATATAATTTTTAGCAGAGTGGATTTTCCTGCGCCAGAAGCACCAATAATTATCGTGACTTTTTTTGTTTCGAAGTGCCCTGTTACATTATGTAGGACTTTTTTCTCAGTTTCTATAAAGTAAATGTTCTTCTTTAATTATATGTAGGCAATATACATAGTAGAAAACGCAAAATATGCATCACATATTTGCATTTACACGCATCCAGCATTAAGCTTTATGAATTTACATAGAGATTTGCCAAGAAAATGAAAACGTTATATAATCTTTGTAACTAATTCAAATTGCTTTTTTACAAATAAAATATACATATATATGTGTACATGCATATATATACAGAGTGTTGCATTTTAAATAATGCATTAAGATTTCTCGAAAACTGTGGTAGATACGGAAAAATATTTTAAACCAAAGTTGTGTATAGTTCGGAGGAGGACATAAGGAAGTACCATTGATTTGACCATGGGTGGCGTCACTAATTGTAAGATCAGGTCAAGGTCGGAGTCATGTCTTGAATAACATTTGTCGAATCAAGGGCATTGAGGATTATTCCTCTTATTTCCATTTTTGCACTAAAAATTCGTTTTTACGTAAAAATGAAAATAAGAGGTATAACCTCCATTGACTTTGATTTTGATAAATGACATCCACGACATGGTTCTGAACAGCATTCAAGAGGTTTTAGCCTTTGGTCGGACACCTTAGGTAATGCTAATGCCAGCGATACTGTAATTTTAAAGTTTTCTAACTTAAAAAATACTATAAAATTGCTAACAATAACTCTCGAGAATGTCAAAAAATAAAAACAAGTAAAGGGCTAATGAGAGTTTTTTATGCGGTAATTCGTGCAATAAAAAAAATTTTTTATTTCATATTACTATAAGTCAGACGTTTCGGGTTCACTTCGAGCCATCTTCAATATATCTGAACACTAAAAAGTAGAATAGTTCCTAGTGACTAAGCGAGAGAGTGACCACTCATTCCATCCTCATCAATTCTTGACACAAGGTTGGCGAATCTAGTGGCAACGATTGAAGATGAATTCTGTGTATAAAAAATAAAAACGTTACCTCAATGTGTGATTTAAGAAATAAGAAATCGAATGACAAACAAATTAAGCGATCCACTCACCCGCACAGCCATGTACAATTAGATAAAAATTATAACATTCCACAAATTGTCCATAATTTAAAATTTTGAGAACGTGATGTCTAACATAAATATGACACACGAAATTGACAATCAAATAAGTCAAACTGAAATAAACGCTCGAATAATTTTTATTTAATTGTACATGGCTGTGCGGGTGAGTGGATCGCTTAATTTGTTTGTCATTCGATTTCTTATTTCTTAAATCACACATTGAGG